ACGAATGTGTGCTTCGAGATTATTCTCGCGTCGTTCAAGATTTGTTCTAACAGGCTCGTTAAAGTGAATAGCAATTATGGCAGAAGCATGCTGGTGCACGTTGGAGTATGCTGGAACATGTTGCGACGCGAACGAACCTTATGATTCAAATGAACCAATGCCTGCTTTTGTAGCATGCTGTAACCAATGTAGCCTCTAGTCGCATCCTGACTTACCAACAATTACAAGCGGTCGATAAATCAGATTTCTATTATGTTACTCTTAATTCTGTCCGTAAAACCTAACCTGCTTGATTGTGTCGTCAAGCTTAGGTTTCGCGTCGGATCACGTCGGGTTGTGTGTGTGTGTGTGTGTGTGTGTGTGTGTGTGTGTGTGTTGTGTATAACGCGTTTCTTATTCTTAATTTCGAGTTAAATAATTAATCGGTACTAATTAAGAATAGTAAATCGATAGAATAATTCGTAAATGATACATGTGCTATCGACTCGGTTATTGATCAAGTGCGTGAGTAAATCAGTGATGAAAGTGTTACAGTTCTTCAGATATTATTTTTAAAAGAAAAAAACGAACTCCTATTTTATTACTTGAAACGTAAATTTATCACACGGGAACGTGAAGAATCTTCTTATTACTTCTTCACGGTCGTGACACGAGTCGAAATTTTAATCCTACTTTGAAGCTCTTCCAACTTCAATTAAAACTTTATAAACCTTTTGATATTTGAATAATCAAATAGGATTTTTTTAACATTACTTAATCTACAGCTTCTATTCAGAAAACTTCTTTTAAACCTAAAAATAAAAAATGTTTCAATAACTGCCATTTACAGGGTCAACGTATGCATTAGATTAGAACCTATTATAAATCTAGTCTACATACGTCCTAAAACTATGATTCAAAGTAGAAGCAAAATTTCAACTAGGGCGAAATTTATCTGTCAAGTAACGACGGTATAAAGACAGCGAATCTCTGCAAGGAGAGAGAGAGAGAGAGAGAGAGAGAGAGAGAGAGAGAGAGAATGTGTGGGTTCGTGCACGCATGCGTGTGTGAACGTTTATTATGTGAGACAGAATAACTCTTTGTCCTTAGACAGCTGATTGCAACAAGTGCCCTTTGTCGCTCGCATCAGACGGTGCGCCCGGCGCCGCCCCTATTTATAATACCTTCTATACGCGATCTGTGATTCGATAACTTTATCCTTTAAAAATTAAAAAAATAAGCGTCGTATAAAATTTTCATAAAGGAAAAGTCGTCTTAGAATTCAGCCAGGAACACTGTGCAAGGACAAGGGTTTTTCTGAATCACCCTGTATATGTATATAAAATGTATGTATATGTGCATGTATATGCGGATGTCACATTGCACACATCAAGCTCGACATACTCATTCATGCATATACAATTAAACTTCCTGATTCTCAACCCGTGATGAAATAACTTTTTTGTTCTCTCTTTCTTACTTGAAAGCACGTACACAAAATGAAAATGTCATCGCGCACGCATTGTGCTTGTACGTATCGATACCTCATTCGTCACTTATTCCACGTATGTGATAAAATGATGAATGTGAAGTGGTGAAAGAGCAGGTATTCAATTGGTTAAGAACAGGGGAGTTTGATTGTACATATGTACAAGGTGTTCCCAAATTTGTTAGAAACAGCGAGAAAGTTCATGAAAAACTGAATTTTACAACAGTTGCAAAGCTGCTTTTTCTGCTGAACGCGACCAATTAACAGTAATTTCGCATGCTATAGACAATTTAAAAAGAAAAGCATTACAAATATAGAACTATTTGATCAATTATACATCGTAGATTTTATTAGATTTTAAATTCTTATGGTTTAAAAAAATTGATCGCAAAAAGTGTCTTTGCGATTTAGTTTTTCGTAAACTTTCGAATTGCAGCGCTTTCGCACGCAAAATTGAGGGCACCTTGCATATAGACACATCATGTGCATCGTTGCACATGTGTACAACATGTGTGCCACAAACGTATTATCAACAAAAAAGTTTTAAAAAAAGATTGAAATACATTTAACCGTGGTAGAATTCTAATTCCACCATGCATTCAGCATGATTTTGAAACAAAGAAATGTTGTCATTTCACTGTCTTTTTCTACTCTCTTTGTGGCTTTCAAGATAATTTTGAACAGTGTTGTACATATGTAGAGACCTTTCTAATGTATCCACAGACCAGTTTTGGTATCCAGTTGGAGACTGAATATTTAGCGATCGTGCTGAGATGTTAATATCGATTGGATAGAGATGAAAAATAGCGCTACAGAGAGAGCTAACCTATTTTTATTAAAAAAAAAAAAAAAAAAAAAAAATTAAGAAGAGAGAAAGAAAGAGAGATTTGATAATACCTTGTAATTGTAAGATATGTAAGTGTGCTACGAAGACATGCGACAGAATATTAGGCAAACTGGTCTTGTATACATTAATATGTAGTTCAATATAGAGAGAACATATATTTTTACAGGGCGCTGCCCGCGTGATAAAGGTTCTTCCTAATAATTCGCTGGTACGCAATTTATTAGCTTAAATATCACTCTACAAAGTATAAATATTAGCGATTCAAATGAGAGGAAAAAACATAACTGTTGTAGCGCAACCTGATCGATTTTTACATATCAATACGTGAAATGTACTATGACAATTTCGTAAATATTTATTCTATTTGTTATTTCAGGATTTATTCAGGATTACTTGCGATGATCTTTTGATATATCACTCAAAGAGCTCATCATTAGTATTACAGAGTGCTATAGCACAGAGTTTCATAGCATAATTACATAAATATATAGAAAAAATTCAATTAGTGTCTTTTAAATTAATAATATAATTGTAATTTTATTTCATTTTCATTTAAACAGTAGAAACAGCTGTGACAACTGGAAGTTGAAAATCTTAATTATCAAAAATAGAAAATATCTTTGAAAGAGAATTGGAAAATACGATTTGTGTGTAATAAACAGGATGCGCTACAAATATATATTTAATTGTGATTGTAGCTAGTCAGCTACACCAGAAGAAAATTCAATCTGAAGGTGCAAGAAAGAATGCCATACTCAATATGAGAAATATTAAATCTACTTTGATAAAATAAAAGAATTACAATATTATTTAAATAAAATAGAAAAAATTATAATTTTCAAAATTTATCCACACACATCTTCTAATATAAAATTATAAATATATTCTTTATTCCGCATTATATAATTTATATGAAATTTAGCCGCATACAATCTATACTTTTTTTGTTTTTAAATTTTATTTTACTGTTATTATTTCTGTGATATATTGCAAAAATGATACGATATTGTTGTTATACTTCAGTGTATCCGAAGTTTTAGAATTCTATATATTATGTTTAGCGAGAGTGTTATATGTATACATATATATGTATATTTATATATCTACATAATATATATGTATAAATGATTATTATTATTATTTATTAACTGGCATTCTTACTCACACCTTGAATACTCTACCTTGATATCGACCTTAAAATGAGCTGGCATCTTCAAATTGATAATCCTATGGAAATTTAATGTTATAGCTTCACAACAATCTGTTAATATCCTCTTAGTCTAGCTCTCGTTTGCTACGACTGAACATCTGTTCTTCCACATATAGTTAAATTCTAAACTAATCGGCTATAGAGTGAGATGCCATTCATCAATCATAATACAGTGTAGCTAATCGATAGGTTAAAAAAGCGTAGATTAAATCGATTAGTCACAGTAATGTAAAGCAATACACCAGTAAATCCTGACATTGGGCGAAATACTCTAGTCAGCCGGTTTCTTAAAGGGAATCATGGGCTCATGTGCAATGCGTTAATCGCTGAGTCGGCACGACGAGGGGATAGACTGTTACTTCATAATTGCATTATGTAGAAGGAATAAGTATTAATATCGTCAATTTATTTTTCTTAACGCGTAGTACCGATCACTACACAATACGAATTCACAAAATTTATGATTATTCGTATATGTTATACGCGGGCTATTATTACAACCGGCTGACAAGCGAAGTCATCCTATGACAGACACCAAAAACACAACAAAGTATGGAGCAAAGCAGATTACGATGTGTCATTGTAACTAACCAGGGACAATCAAAAGACATGATGTATTTGATTTGCTTCCATTACATAATATCGTGCCAAATGCAAAATCCTTTGGGTTTGGAAAATCGGAGATAC